CTTTTTTTTTTTTAAATAGTCTTTTGATGTCTTTTTGGTTTGGAGAGAGTATTCAAGATTGTTCCGATGTGGTGGTTGTGTAGGAGGAGGAGAATGTTGGATACTGATAAGAAAATTGACGGCAGGAGGAGACATGAAGAGGGCTCGTCAGGCTGTCCTCTACGGCACCTTGATCCCCCTTGCTGTCTACTCGGTTTGGGAGGTGATGCAGAGGGAAGGGGAGAAGCGGCAGGAGGAAGTAGACAGCAGGAAGGAGGAGGGGGAGGGGAGGCAGGAGGCAGGAGGCAGGAGGCAGGAGGCAGGAGGCAGGAGGCAGGAGGCAGGAGGCAGGAGGCAGGAGGCAGGAGGCAGGAGGCAGGAGGCAGGAGGCAGGAGGCAGGAGGCAGGAGATTGAAGTTAGGGTGTTCGCAGGTTGTTTTCTTGGGGATCATTCCGCAGGGAGCAGCAGCGTCGAAGGAGGACATAGTCCATGCGCTGGGACCTGCTGCAGGAAATGGAGTCATACAGGTATCTTCCTCTGCTCTGCTCTGCTCTGCTCTGCTCTGCTCTGCTCTGCTCTGCTCTGCTCTGCTCTGCTCTGCTCTGCTCTGCTCTGCTCTGCTCTGCTCTGCTCTGCTCTGCTCTGCTCTGCTCTGCTCTGCTCTGCTCTGCTCTGCTCTGCTCTCTTGCTCCTATCTCTGCCCCACTTCCCTGTCTTTTCCCCTCGCTTCCTCTTGTCAAGCATCATTCTTTTCGCTTACCCTCTACCAGGCGCTTGTCACTGCCTTCAGCGTGTTTGCTATCACCTCCTCCATGTGCGGATGAGAACGCTGCCCCCCCCTCCTCTACCTCCTCTGCCCCCCCCTCCTCTACCTCCTCTGCCTCCTCCTCTCCCTACTTCGTCTCCTCTCTTCCCCTCCCCTCTCTTGATCCTGCTTCCCCTCATCATCTCCACATCGCTCCCTTCCTCTCTTTCTCATCCTCATCCACTTCTGCCGACCTGCAGGGCGGGTGCTTCTGCCTCCTTCATCGACTTCTGGCAAGACTCCATCAGCAGCATCAGCGCCGGCCTCTCCTCCTCCTCTCGCCGCCTCCTCGCCGCTGCTCTTGCTCTCTCCCCGCCCTTCTTCATCGCCCTTCAGTTCAAGGGTATCTCCTGCTCTCCCCTACTCCCCTTCTCTGAGCATGCAGCAGGGGTCTTTCTCCGCGCCCTCGAGAACGCTGGGCTCATAGGAGGATTGTCACTCTATGGGATTTTCCCTGCCTTTGCCCTCCTCAGCTACGGAAGCCGGTCCTGTCTCGTCCTCGTCCTCCTCGTCCTCGTCCTCGTCCTCGTCCTCGTCCTCCTTGTCATCCTCGTCCTCGTTTTCCTGCTCCTTGCTCCCTGCTGTTCCCTCTCTTCCAGAAGCTTCTGCTGCTTCCTTCTGCTGCTCTCCTCCCCCCCCCCCCCTCCTCCTCCTCTACGTAAAGCACTGCAGCTGAGAGCCGATGGCAGGAAGCTGCAGGGAGAACAGCTGGGAGATAGCTGGGAAGCACAGCTGAGAAAGCAGACTGGCGGATCTCTGCTGGACAGGATCTTCCTCAACAGGTGACGTGACCAGGGGGCCAGTCATGGGCTGAGAGTTTGCGGCAGGTTCGCGCTGCTGGCGGTTGTGGTCGGCAGCTCTTTCCTCCTCCTCTCGGAGCTCCTGCGCCTCCTGCTAGCATCCCATCTGCTCTGAAGCTCCTGTTGTGCCCCCCGACAACATCGACAAAGTCTCCTCCTCCTCCTCCCCCTCCCCTTCCTCCTCCTGCCCTTCCTCCTCCTCCTCCTCCCCTTCCTCCTCCTCCCCATTTCGTCTCGATTCTACCTTGCACTCTCCCCCTGAGTTCTCTGTCCTTCTTCTCTCCTTCTCTTCCTGCTCCTGCCTGTGCTCTTCCTTCCTTTCCTCCCATCCTCCTGCCTTCCTCTCGACCCATCCCAGGGTCCTTCACTTAAAACGTTTGTCCCCTTTCTTGCTGTATTTCTGTATCATAGAGCAGCTGAGAAGCAGCTGAGAAGCGTCATTACTTCCTCGCTTCTGAATACTTCTTGAGGCCCTGCAACTCAATGATGAGAAGGAGAGGAGGAGGAGGAAGAGAGGAGAGGAGAGGAGAGGAGGTTGAGATATGGGTGCGGGAAAGATGGGGAACGTGGGAAAGCTGAACTCATCACCATCACCATCACCATCACCATCACCATCACCATCATCATCATCATCATAACCAACAATCATCACCATCATCATCATCACCACCACCATCATCATCACCATCACCAACAATCAACATCATCATCATAACCAACAATCAACAGCATCATCATCATCACCATCATCGTCATTATCATCATCATCAACGTCATTATCATCATCTTACCGCCTTCCACTCGTTGATTCCAAGACCGTTCGGGGTCTTGTGCGCAATCACTCCTTTCCCGTTGTCCTCCAAGCACCTTTTCATTCCACATGAGCACTTTGGAATCCCATCTTTCTCCTGCTCCTGCTCCTGCTCCTGCTCCTGCTCTCTCCCTCTCTCCCCGATCTCTTCATTCTCTTCTCTCACCTCTGAGAAACTCTTGTACAATGATCTCCCCAGTTGCAATCATCAAAGAACAACATCTTATCGAAAGGAATGCCTGTTGCCTGTAGAAACAATTAGCGAAACCCCCCGCCTCCCTCTCCTCTCCTCCCACTCCTTTCCCCTCCCCTCCCTCCTCTCTCTCTCTCTCTCC